AACACCGGCACAAGTGTATGAAGACCAAATCAAAGTGAAAAATTAGGAAGAAAAGAGACGGAAATAGTTAGAGAAAAAGAGAGAAAACAATGAGTTGGCAAGTAAGAGAGAAAATAGTGAAGTGACTAAAAGAGATAAATAGAGAGAAGAGCCACATGAGAAAAAAGATAAGAGGTCTTCCGAGATGAGAGAAAAGCTGATAGCAAATTTCTTTGCAAAAAGGAGTGAGTTGAAAAGAGCGATAGTGGAGAGACAACAAATGATTTTGTTATTGTACAAGGAGTCACTCCTCAATTTTGAAAAATCTAACCCACCCTTCCCTAGTTTGGCTATTTCTTTATTACAGGAATTTGGAGATATATTCCAGGAAGACATACCTAGTGGGTTAACACCCATTCGAGGCATTGAACACCAAATTGACTTCTTAGTCGACGCAGTCATTCCAAATTGACTAGCTTACCGAAGTAATCCCGAGAAGACAAAGGAACTTCAAAGATAAGTGAAGGAATTAATGAGTAAGGGGTATGTGAGGGAGAACATAAGTTCATGAGCCTTGTCAGCCCTATTTGTGCCAAAGAAGGATGGAACTTGGATAATGGCGTGGATTGCTGGACCATCAATAACATAACGGTAAAATATCGTCATCCTATTCTTAGGTTAGATGATATATTGGACAAATTATTTGGTACATGCATATTTAGTAAATTGATCTTAAGAGTAGTTACCATCAAATTCGAATGATGGAAGGTGATGAACGAAAAACCACATTTAAAACTAAATATGACTTGTATGAATGGTTGGTCATGCCGTTTGGACTCATTAATGCACCGAACATTTTTATACGTTTAATGAACCATTTTTTCCGTACATTTATAGGCAAGTTTGTTGTGGTTTACTTTGATGATATTTTAATCTATAGTAAGGCCCTCAATGAACATATTGAACATTTGCTATGTGTGCTAGTAGTTTTAAGAAAAGAACAACTTTTTGCTAACTTTAAAAAGTGTACTTTTGCATGGAAAATGTTGTGTTTCTTGGATGTAGTTAGTGCTAAGGGAATTGAGGTAGATGAAGAGAAAATAAAAGCTATTAAAGAATGACCCAATACCTAAAAGTATAACCGAGGTAAGAAGTTTTCATGGTTTGGCTAGTTTTTATAGACGATTTGTAAGGGATTTTAGTACACTTGCCACACCACTAACTGAAGTTGTTAAAAAGAGTGTAGATTTTAAATGGGACGATGAACAAAAGCATGCATTCAATACTAATAAGGATAGGTTGTGTGAAGCACTGGTTTTAGCACTACCTAATTTTGACAAAACTTTCGAGATTGAGTGTGATGCAGCAGGATATGAGGCCGATAGCTTATTTCAGTGAAAATCTAAGTGGAGTAGCGCTCACCTATCCTACATATTACAAGGAGCTTTATTCACTTGTTCGAGTATTGGAGACATGGCAGCATTACTTGTGGCCGAAGGAGTTCGTGATTCACACTGCTCAGGAGTCATTGAAGTACTTGCGGAGTCAAGGTAAGCTGTACAAAAGGCATGCTAGATGGATGGAATTTATTTTGACATTTTCCTATGTCACCCAGTACAAATAAAGTAAGGAAAATGTGGTGGCGGATGCATTGTCCTGAAGGTATGTGCTTCGTACTTCTTTAAGTGCAAAGTTGATTGATTTTGAGTACATTAAGGACAAGTATATGAATGATTAGATTTTTTCAGCATATATGAATCATGTAATAGGGGTACAGTAGACATTCTTTTAAGCATGAGGGTTATTTGTTTCGGAAAAATAAACTATGTGTTCCTAATTGTTCCATGCGTGAATTGTTGGCTAGAGAAGCATACAATGGGGGACTAATGGGTCACTTTGGGGTTACAAAGACTTTAGAGATGTTAAGGGAATATTTTTATTGGCCTAAAATGAGGATTGATGTAGAACGAACTTGTGAGCGACACATAACTTGTAAACAGGCTAAGTCTAATGTTCTACCCCATGGATTGTATACTCCTTTACCCGTTCTTAGTAAACCTTAGTTTGATATCTCCATGGATTTTGTTTAGGTTTGCCTAGGACTAAAAGGGGTCGAGATTCAATATTTGTAATGGTCGATAGGTTTTCTAACATTTTTTCCATGTCATAAAATCGACGATGCTACTAAAATAGCTGATTTGTTCTTTAAGGAAATAGTGCATTTACACTGGGTGCCTAAAAGTATAGTGTGGGATAGAGATTAAATTTATTAGTCACTTTTGGCGGGTTTTGTGGGGTAAGTTAGGTTTTCTACTATATGTTCCTACAAATCGATGGGCAAACCGAAGTAGTCAATATGACTATGATTCAATTGTTGTACATTGTGGTTAATAAAAAATTGAAAAGTTGGGAAGAATGCTTATCTTTCGTTGAGTTTGCATACGATAGGGCTATACATTCTACTACTGCATGTTCACCATTTGAAATTGTTTATGGTTTTAATCCACTAACACCATTGAATTTAATTCCTTTACCTCGAATGAACATGATAGTTTAGATGCGAAAAAGAAGGCCGAGATGGTGAAGTCATCCCATGAGAAGGTGAGATTGCAAATTAAAAACAAAAACAAGTATTATGTGTCACAAGCTAACAGGAGCCGGAAGAGCGTTTCATTTGAACCCAGTGATTGGGTTTGTGTACATTTGAGAAAGGAGCATTTTTCAAAGCAAAGGAAATCAAAATTACAGCCACGGAGAGATAGACAGTTTCAAGTTCTCGAGAAAATCAATGATAATGCATACAATCTGGATCTTCCTGGTGAGTGTAATATTTCGGCTACTTTTAATGTATCTGATCTCTCTCTTTTTCTTTGATGCAGGTATAGATTCGAGGACGAATCATTTTGAAGAGGGGGATGATGTGAGCACGGAGTCAAGTGTGTCAAAGTCAAGCCTGGGAAAGGATTCGTTGATTATCGAATGAGGTTTGATGGCACGGTCGAGAGCAAAGCGGTTGAAAGAGGCAATGTGATTGGTAGGTCAAGTTACGGTGGACGAAGGCTGATCACGATAAGCAAATGAATGAGTTTTGTGTTGGACTCAGGTGGAAAAACCAGATGGATTAACATAATTCAAGCAATGGACGAGGAAGCATAGTTCATTATGGTCGCGAAATTTTTCAAATTTCGCGTAATCTTCTATTTAAGTTAAAACTCTATTTTGCAATATCGTTTGCAATTTTTTTTAGCTCAATTCCCTTTTTAGCTAGGTTTTATGGGTTTCCTATAAATATGACTCATTCTTTTCATTGTAACACACAACATTATTATTGAAATTTATTGAGAAACAAATTTGCTTTCGAATTCTTGTTCTTCATTAGACAAATCACGAACTTATCATGATTCTTCTTGTATCGTTCAAATCAATTGGGTGAGATTCTCAAATAATCAATCAAAAGGGTCAACATATCGTTTGCTTATGGTTGGTTATTTTGATTCGTCATTTTTGAATAAAATCCAAAACTTTGATTGCTTTGGCTTTCTTGGGTTCGATTTCAATCTAATCGCGGGTTTCGTAATTCTTCGCTACATGCGTTCACATTAGAATTGATTACCTTAACCAACCAAAAATAGAAAGCCAGCCCCCAATCACTTTAAATGGAGAAACATATTGGGAACTCTTTAAAAATGCCAAATATGGTCAAAGTTGCTAGGATTTCTTCTATTTCAAGCTTAGGTCACCGACATTTATATTACACAATATACACAAAATCAAGATTATTATTTTCCTTGTATGCGTTTATTCTCTTCCATGCATAGTTTATACTCAGTCCATGTGTATGTTTATTCTACAGCTACAAATATGTTCCATATTCATTGTAAACGTAAGAAAAATTAATCAATAACAATCATTCTTTTCAATTCATCTTCCTTCTTATATTATGGTATTAGAGCGGTAAGATCAAAAATTCCACCAACACCAGTTCTCTAGCAAAATTCTCATCAGTAGCATTTTTTTCATCCCAGCAACATAATTTTCTGATTCCAGCAAAAAAAAATTCTTCCAGTAGCATAATTTTATGCTTCCTTTACCATGAATACTACCCAATCTCCTTCTCAATTGATCTATGACTCACTTCACCATACTTCTTGACCCATGCTGACAATCCTGACCTCCTCATGGCCAATAACTATGCCACCTAGAAGCACTCAATGCGTCTGGCCCTTAATGCCAAAAATAAGCTTGCTTTCGTCGATGGTTCTCTTAAAAAACCATCAAATTCTTCAATTGCTACACTATGGGATCGTTGCAATGATATGGTACTCTCATGGCTCTTAAATTCGATTGATAAATCTCTACGCTAAAGCTTAATTTATTCTTCGAAGCCATCTGACATTTGGACTGATTTAAACAACTGTTTCTGTCAAAGTAATCGTCCCCGCCTCTATTACCTCCACTGTGATCTTGTAAACCTCAAACAAGGCACCATGTCCATCACCACTTACTACAACACCATCAAGGGTTTTTGATATGAGCTCATTGACCTTGCCGAACTGAATCTTTGTACTTGTGAAGCCAAAAAGAAAGCTGAAATCACTGTCAACACCAAAAGGCTCGTCTAATTCCTTATGGGTCTCAATGATTCCTTCTCTAACATTGGAAGTCAGATCCTTGCCATGGATCCCCTTCCAACCATTGCTCTAGCCTATACCACCATCCACCAGGAAGAAACCCAACGACTTCTTCAAATTCCCTTGCTACCTACACCAGACACATCTACCATGGCCGTAACCCGTAGCCATAACCTGGGCTACCATGGATCTTGCCCCTGCAGCACTAAAAAATGCACAAAATGTGGCAAGGATGGACATCTTGAGCCTACATGCTTCGAGAATATTAGGTATCTCCCTCACTAGAACACTAACAGGCCAAAGTAGCCACTTCGACCCCCATTAATGCAAACAAGCAGCTGCCAATAGCACATATGGTATCTGATGTTCAAACACCTTTGGCCTTGAGTGTTATCTCTGGCCTCTCCGACGAAAATTATCGACAATTGATAGACTTTCTTCAGCCCATAGCTTCTCTGGTATCTTTCCCTTGACCTCTAAAACTAAACTACCATGGATTATAGACACTGGGGCTTCGGCCCATATATCCTCTATTGCCAATTTATCCATTGCTACTAATGTTTCTCCTTGTTCACAGTCCTTAACTCTATCTACAGGTGTCACAACCCAAGTTACTCATATAGGCCATATTTGCTTTTCTTCTCAATTGTCACTTTTTAATGTGCTTTTTGTTTCTCAATGTAATTATAATTTAATCTCTGTTAGCCAACTCATTAAAACATCCAATTGCATTGCAATATTTTTTTCCTCGCGTTGTTTTTTTCAGGACCAACACATGAGGAGACTGATTGGAATGAGTGAAGAACGTGGATACCTCTACCATCTCAAACTTATTCCTCATGTTGCACTACAAATCAGCTCCAAGGCTAATTCCGCCTCAATCTTATGGCATCTACGCTTAGGTCATCATTCCATTTCTTGCATTCCAAAATTTTTATGCACTTCAGATATGATTGACAATTGTGATAGTTGTATTCGAGGCAAACATACTCGTCTACCTTTTAAATTAGTTGAGAATAAAAGTGATTCCAAACTTTATCGTGTTTATTGTGATATTTGGGGTGGCTATTCTACACCATCTACATCTGGTGCACATTATTTTCTCACTATTGTTGACGATTTTTCTTGTGTTACTTGGGTATACCTAATGCCTTTTCTTGTCTCACCACCTTTATTAAAATGGTCAACACACAATTTAATTGTTATGTCAAACATGTTCGTTCCGATAATGGTCAAGTATTTCTTTCACATCACGTGCAAAAATTTATTGTTGATCATGGCATCATTCATGAACGGACTTGTGCTGAAACACCACAACAAAATGGTATAACTGAACAAAAACATTGCCATCTCTTAAATGTGGCTCGATGTCTTTGTTATCATGCCCATCTACCTATTTCTTTTTGGGGTGAATGTATATTCACTACTACTTATTTAATCAATCGCACCCTCTCTTCCTTTTTGCACCATCAAAAGGGCCCCACATATGATCACTTTCGTGTGTTTGGATGTCTTTGTTATGCACACACTCTGAAAATCTATCATGATAAATTCTCAACCCGTGTCTCACCTTGCATCTTTATCTGCTATACTCAAACCCCACACATTTATCGTGTTTATGATCTGAATACAAAAATTATTTTTTCTTTATCTTGTTGTACGCTTTGTGGAATTTGATCCCCCTTTTACAACTATCACACCACACTCTGCAACATCACCGTCTCATTCCCCACCTGAAGACCAAGGCTTCCTCGATATACACCCTCCATTCCAATTGTAGCGCCCCGAGTTTTGTTAACCCGGATTGCCACGTCATCGTCTTTTGCCCTAATTTTGTCAATCAATTTTGCGGAAATAACCTAATTTTTAAAATCACATTTGCAATTGAAAACTACGTCGGGGGTGGCAGTAGCTTGAGCATTGAGCTTGGTGGT